AAACTTGGACACAATCGTCTCCCTAACCAAATTTGTGTTTCCACATGACAACTTATCCCTCAAATTTCTCTTTAGATGTTCCAGACAAAATCCATGAAAGCAGTTAGGGAAAAATTTAGTTATTCCCACCACAATACCACAATGTCGATCTGATATGAAACTTATCACCCTTTCTGATCCCAATACTCCACATAAATGTTCAAGAAACCAACACCAATTGTCTTTATTCTCAACATCAACAACAGCAAAAGCTACAGGAAAAAAACCTACAAAACAAATAGGAACAAGCATATTAGATATACACATGCAGAGAAAAATAGAACAATAAATAACCAGAGAACTTTGGCACTGCCAACATCCAAAGAAAATTCACTTAGTGCCCAACTCCGGAGAAAATTCACACATTGCAACATCCAGAGAAAATTGACTTAATGACTAACTACAGAGAAAATTCACACAATCATAATATCCAGAAAAAAATCACTTAGTGACCACCTACAGATACAATTCACACAATGACAATATCCAGAGAATTCACACACTGACCCAAATCCAGTGAAAATTCTCACAGTGGCCACAACCATAGAAAATCCACACAGTGGCCAAAACCAGAGAAAATTCACATTCACTCAATTCCTACATGTATAGAAAATTCACATACTTAGATAAAATTAGATATATTTACAATTACCTTCATTCCCATATTTTCCCGTTGCAGCAAGCATAACTCCTTTGTATCGTCCTTTAAAAAATGTTCCATCAAGAAAAAGCAATGACCGTCAATATTTGAAACCAGCAATGCATGCATGAAAAGTCACAAACACTCTTTTGAAACGCTTGTTATCTTCAAAATCTAACTCAAAACGACTACCTGGATTGTTCTTCAATGCCTCATCAAAATACTACCGTAATTGATCAAATGACAAACAAGAATCCGCATATGTACTACATTTGGCTTTTTCAACACCCAACCAACCACAGTTATAACTGATTGAGACCCCATACTTGTCTTTCATTTCTTTCACAACATTCACTGGACGAGTTAAAGGTTTTGCACTTACCTCTTCAAGTATCAGCCTAGAAACTAAGCTGCAAGTCATCCTTGAATGTTTACTCGTACGAACCGCCACACCACACGTATGTTCATTGTTCAAAGTCCTTATGTAGAAGAACCCATTTGTTTTTTCAACAGAAGCATGTACACGCCACATACATCCCCTTGATTCCTTATATGCACATTCTGCCGTAACCCTCAGCTTGTCATTTTTAACATACGTAAACTGAAAACCAACCTCAATAGCATACTTGCATAAAAAGTACGGAACTTAACCACACCACCCTCAAACTTTTGTCCAACACTCATACTATTATTCCGCCAACTAGCCGACAATAACACCTTTTCTATTGGTAAGAACAAAACTTAGAGAGTGAATTCCTTTCAATATCCACCAACCTATCACACTCACCATCCACAACATCTACCCAATTAGACCCCACTTCATCCTCTTCATCAGAAGTACTACATCTAGTAACTGAAACATTAACTATATCAACACCGCGTGCACAAACAACCCTCAACATATTCAGAAAATTAATATTATTTTGAACCATACAATTTGGATGGCCCAAAATAGAATATGACATACACATAGTCTCAGGTTTCAAATTCTCCCATATTTTACACAAAATGCCAACCAATTCCTCAAAATTCAATTCGCATGAAACATTAATGACAATAGTATCATTCCCATATTTGCACAGCAACAACACTGCACTGTCCATTGAAACTGAAACAAAAAATAAGAAAAATAATTTGTTTAACATAGAAACACTTCACAAGAACAACATAAAAGTCCAGAGAAATTTCTAAAAATTATAATTTTTTCTGAACTTAAAATAAAAGTCCAAAGACATCTACAAACTGATATTCACCTTCAAGATGATAAAAAACAAAATCACAGAAACTTAATAAATCACAGAGAAATTTACTGCTAACTATTAAACACAATCATAGAAAAAAATCACACAGAATATCTGTTATGAAATTATAAGCTTTTCCGTGATTTTCACCTCACTACAAGCTAACAATTTTCTATGCGTCATTCTGTAACATTGCACTCATAGAAAAATTCAAAGAAATTTACAAACTTATATACACCTTCAAGTTAACAAAAAAACACTGCATTGTCCATCTAAACTGAAAGAAAAAACACAAAAAATAACTTTTGCTTAGAGAAACAAAAACTTCTATTCATCTTCTACAAACATATAATTTTCTCTGAACTACAAACTGAAAGTGAGTAACAAATTTACAATTTTCTCTGAACTACAAATACAAGTCCAGAAAAATTTATGAACTTACATTCACTTTCTCATATTCTATCTGCATTAAAAACTTCTAATAATATGTCCATATGTACTTATAATTTCCTCTGGACTACACAAACAAAAGTGCAGAAAATGAAATTTCTCTGGTTTGAAAAAACATAGAACAAAACTTATCATTGATCAGCATGTTAATAAAAAACAGAGCACGAAAAATTAACTCTAAACATCAAAATCACTTACATTGTCAACACTATTTGAAATTGATAAAAAAACAAAGAATGAAAAATTAATTCTAAAAATAAAAATCAACTCTATCAAGCTGGCCTCTTTCTAAACAAAAATCAAAATCCATGTAGAATCTAAATCGAAAACAAACCTGATTCAACTCCACTCAAAAACCTACGCGATCAACACACTGTCAACACTTTTTGAAATTGATTAAAAAACAAATAATAAAAAATTAATTCCAAAAATAAAAATCAACTCTATTAAACTGGCCTCTCTCTAAACAAAAATTCAAAACAAAAATCAAAATGCATGTGGTATCTTCATCGAAAACAAACCTGATTCAACTCCACTGAAAATCTACGCGATTAACACACTGTAACACCACTAAAATCTCCGATGAAATCTCCAAAGAAATCTACACGATCATAGCAATCTTTCTCGTCAACTTCACTGAAATCTCCGACGAAATCTCCACCATGAAATCTCCGACAAAATCTCCATTGCAAATTCGGTTTTCAAAATCTATCAGTTAAGTCAACAATATAATATTCAAACAAATTTATGTTATAAAGGAAGGATAATTTAGGTACTTTATAACCTAAAATAAATTTGAGAGACCTTAGCCATCAAAACATATTATTTTGGACCTCTTCTTCTATCAAAAGTAGAGGAGGGACCTTAGGTCAATTTTCCCTTTTATTTGACCTTTTAAAACTAAAATAAAAAATTAATAAGTTAGATAGAAAAATAATTTTCTAAGTAAAATTACATTTTGAATGAATTGTGACTACATTATAGTTTCTAAGCAAAATTTGAGTACATTTTCAAAGAGTACTTAGCGTTATTGAAATTGGCCAATAATTATATATATTTAGGGTCAATTTGGAAACTTGGCTAAATTTGTCTTTTAACATATTTTGGGTCATATTTTTTCTCTATTTTTTTATTTATTTTTTCAAAAAAAGTCAAAAAAAATTAAAAAAATCAACTTCTAACCAACTTTTCAAAACAAGCCTTAAACAAATTGTTAATGTGTGTTTTTTTTTTAATAATAAAAATGGTATTAAAAAAAACTGAAATAGTATTTCACTGTACTTACCTTTGCCATTGCGTAATTGCTTCACCTATACTGCATAATATAAGAACATAGATTATATATTGATCTTAAGTTCCAATAAATCCAAAAAAAAAAAAAAAAAAAAACTATACAATTTGTAGAAAAATATATAGAAAACAATCAATCATCAAAATTATTTATTGAATAAACTTTTAATAAAAGATTAAGGATGAAGCAACAATTAAATAATAATAAAAACAATCAATCATAATAAATTATTAAGAAAAACCCACCAGTATTTTTGAAATTAGTTGTTTAATACAAGGCCTCATTGCTGTTGTTGCTTAGGGTTAAGGGGAAAAAAAATGATGGTCTTTAAGGGCAGTGAGAATCACAACAAAGTTTTTTTTAGAAAGTTGGTTAAAAATTAATTTTTAATTTTTAACTCATTTTAGGTTATATTACTTTTTACATAATTTATTTACAGAAATACAAAATAAATTTAAAAATAAAAAAATCAACTTTTAATTAATTTTCCAAAACACTGAGATCCGTTAAAGTTAAAAGCAAACCGCGTTAAGTGTTGAGGCCCCGTTTGTTTGGGGTTATAGGGAGGAGATTGGGATTGATAGTGAGGTGAGACTACTATCTGGGTGTTTGTTTTTGAGAGATAGGGAGGAGACTACTAATCCCTTATACAGAAATACAAAATAAATTTAAAAATAAAAAAATCAACTTTTAATTAATTTTCCAAAACACTCAGATCCGTTAAAGTTAAAAGCAAACCGCGTTAAGTGTTGAGGTCCCGTTTGTTTGGGGTTATAGGGAGGAGATTGGGATTGATAGTGAGGTGAGACTACTATCTGGGTGTTTGTTTTTGAGAGATGGTATTAGTAAAGGCCTTAGAAGGGGGATTGGTAAGGAGGAGGTAGAGATGGTATTAAAAAAATAGTAAGGGATTAGAAGTTTTTTTTTATTTTTTATTTTTTATATATTGAGAATTTTTTTTTTAAATATTAATGTTTAATTTTTTATATTTTTTTATTTATTTTATTATTTTATATAAAAATAATTTAATAATTTATCATTATCAATCTCCTTACTAATAATTCACTCATTATTAATTCTCTCATTATAAATTATCTCCATTCTACCTCTAACAACAAAAGCGCCCGAAGGTGGTACCGAACGGGTGATGACGAAGTTTGAATTTTATTTGGGAATAATAATGGGAAAAGTAAAATAAATAATCATCAAAGACAGAAAGAAAGAAAAAGGTGGCGAATATCCAAAAGCATATAACCTAACCCAAGCCCAGCATAGATGGGAATATTCTAGGGAGATCCGAAGTCCTGTTTGGTTCCTTTCCTCCACCACCATCCGCCCAACTCCACTCCATAAATAAATCCCAATCCCAATTCCAATCCCAATCCCAATCCCAATCACAATAACATAATATCCCTCCAACTCCAAGCCAATTGTATTGAGCTCTTTGTTTGTTTGTTTCTGTCTTTCTTTCTTTGTTTCTTACAATTACAATGGCTCTTAAGGCGGTTCATGTCTCCGACGTTCCCAGTCTGGATCACGTCCCTGAAAACGCCTCCTTGGCTCTCTACTCCACCCGTTTTTCCAACGGTAACTCTCTCCTCTCCTCTCCTCTCCTCTCCTCTCCAACATTAATCCAATTTCACTGCTAATACTATATGAATGAATTTATATATGTATGAAAATTTGTATTGATTGCATGAATATGTAATGGGTGCAGCAGGGGTGGATGTTGGGAGAGGTGGGTTTAAGATTCCGAAATTTGTAGTGATTGGGCACAGAGGGAGTGGTATGAATGTATTGCATACGTCAGATCGGAGAATGAAGGCCATTAAAGAGAACTCTATCCTTTCTTTCAACGCTGCTGCCGCCACGTCCGCCGTTGATTTTATTGAGTTCGATGTTCAGGTATATATTTGCCTGCTCTCTGTCTTTTTCTCCATTATTATTACTACTGTTGTGTTTTTTTGGGGGCTCAGATTTTACCGATTATTTTTCCAGTTATTAAACGAACGAATTTAGTGAAAGAAATTTGTGAAGAATCCACGTCGTGGTGCCGGTGCGGTGCACCCGCGCCGCGTTTCTAACATCTGTACCTTTTCATTTCTTTTTTTAACCCATTCGGCGGGGTGGCCTCTAGTTTGAGTTATGGAGAATTGTATAATTTATTAAATTTTTTATCATCTCTCTGGTATACGTATAGGTGTAAAATTTACATTTGAAAACTTTAATAAAAAAATTAATAAATTATTTAAAATTCATAGTAGTATTTTCATCTAATTTATCATGTGATAGTCTTTGTTCAATCAATACAATCATAATACAATCATGATAAATTCATTTTATTAACTCAAACAGGGGCTAGTTTGGCATATACTAAATAAGTCAAAAAGTCACTATCTTATTTAAGTCACATCATCTTATTTAAATCACATCACCTCTCTAACACATTACATCAAACCCAACCCAAACCCAACCCAAACCCACCAATAAGTCAAAAAGTGCACTTTTTTAGGACATCCCAAACCAACCTTAAAATTAGAAAATTTTGATCATATGATATGTATGGTTATATATATATATATATATATATATATATATATATATATGTGTGTGTGTGTGTGTATGTGTGAGATTGTTCTTCTCACAAATTAGTCTGATTTTTTTAGATTTTTTAGATATTTTAGTTTAGGTAAAAAAGTTTTGCTTAGAATAAATTTTTGATTTTTTTTATATTTGATTTGATGATTATGAAAAGAAAAAAAAAAATATTTTCTAAATTAAGTTGTGTATCAAGAAGATGATTGATTAATATTTATCAATCAATTATTTTCTTCACATATCTCTAAATTTGGAAAGTATATAACTTTTGAATCTAAATACTAATGCTCATTAATTTTGAAGGGTAAAAGAGTTTTGTCCTTATTTGACCGAGAAAGACTAACGAAATTGTTGAGGTGAATTTTGAAAATTCACTTCGTCCCCAAGACTGACTGATTTGGGCTTTTTTTCCGTTTCCATTTTCTAATGGAACATTTAAGTTTGAGGCCCAGTTTCGCAATGGTTTAAAAGTCATTTTGCGGCTTAAAATTTAAAGAAGCCCAAATAAGCTTAGACCATTCAACAAGTTGACTTTTTCGCATAAGCTATTTTAGCTACACTGGTTTTCATTTTGTCAAAATCGTTTACCAAGACTTTTTACAAGCAATCCGTTTGGTGTAATTTATAGGGTATTTATGACATTGGTTAGCATCACAAAAAAATTTAAAAAATTTAGGAGAAGTAATTCTCAAATGCCTACTAACCAATCAGTTATTATTTTTATGTTTCTTCCCTTTATATTTTCTGCATATTTTTAAGCTCAATTGTATGGATATGTACTGATTACATTATTTTTTACTGGTTTGTTTTCTGGTGCAATCTTGTATAATACTTTGTTTGGAAATTATTATTATTTTTTTATTAAAAAAATAGAGTGAATCTATTATGGAGTTGGGGCGAGACCTTAAATAGCGAAGTAAAATGAATGTGATTTTTGTAGGTGACCAAAGATGGCTGCCCTATCATTTTCCACGATGATTTCATCATTTCTGAAGATAATGTAAGCTTTTATATCTCTTTTCTCTCATTGCAATTCTTTTTAGAAATTCTAATGGTTAATTTTCAAAAAATGGCAATTGATCTAATTTAGAATTGTGAATTTCAGGGTACTGTATATGAGAAGAGAGTGACAGAACTCAGTCTGTCTGAGTTCCTTTGCTATGGCCCTCAAAGAGAGCTTGGTAAGATGGGCAAGTCTCTCTTGAGAAAAAATAAAGATGGCAAGATTTTAAGTTGGAATGTTGAGAGTGATGACTCACTTTGTACGCTTGAAGAAGCGTTTAACAATGTTAACCCTTCTTTGGGCTTCAACATTGAATTGAAATTCGATGATTACATTGTCTATCAACAAGAAGATCTCATTCATGTTATTCAAGCTGTCTTGAAGGTAACTGATGAGTCTTTGCTAGAAATATTATAAGCCTAATTTACTATTTTCTTGGTCATGTTGTGGACTTGCTAAGCATCTGAAATTTTGTAATTTTGTAATTCAGGTCGTGTTTGATCACGCTAAGGACAGACCAACCATTTTCTCAACCTTTCACCCCGATGTGGCACTACTTGCCAGGAAGCTGCAGAGCACCTACCCTGTAAGTTTTTACTCTCCATAATTGAGAAAACACATTCGAAAGTTTTTCTTTTATAGCATGGAAAATGAGGATGAAAAGGGTGTTCTAATTATGTTTGTTGCTGATTGAAATCAGGTCTTCTTTCTCACAAAGGGTGGAACTGAGATTTACTATGATGTGAGAAGGAACTCCTTAGAGGAGGCTGTAAAGCTGTGCTTAGAGGGTGGTTTGCAAGGGATTGTGTCGGAGGTCAAAGGAGTTTTTAGAAATCCCGGGGCACTAACCAATGTCAAGGAGGCTAAGCTCTCACTCCTAACATACGGCAAATTAAAGTAAGTTGTTCAAATTTTCATCTCAAAATTGCTCACGAGGATGAATTGCATATTTGTCATGTGGTTGCTAATTATGAATGTCATTCAATGTTTCAGCAACGTGCCCGAAGCAGTTTACTTGCAACATTTAATGGGTGTTGAAGGAGTGATTGTTGATTTGGTTCAAGAAATTACAGAGGCTGTTTCAGTTATGATCAAGCCATCGAGCGAGGGTGAAGGGGGGGAGGTGCTATTGGAAGGGGAGGATCAGATTCAGGACAAAGCAAAGCCCCAGTTCTCTCAAAGAGAGCTGTCATTTTTGCTGAAGCTAATTCCAGAATTAATACAGATATAAAAGAAAGAGGCCACTTTTATACCTCGAAATATAGTAGAAAGTTTTCCAACTTGCATGGAATCTTAAAGCGTGGACTTGCCATAGATTTCGGCCTTCTTGTACATAAGCCGATATTTTCTCTTTTCAGTACAAATTATTGAAATTATCAGAGTCCATTTGGTTTGTCAGTTTCTTTCTTTTTTGTTTTTCCCCTGTCAATGTCGATCTCTGCTTTGGCAATGTAGTAGTCCGTCGGGATCAAGAATGTGTACTTTCAGAGCTGTGTTACTTATCCGCTGATTCCATGCAATATAATATATTGCCTTCACGAATGAATCGAGAACGAAGTTGTTTATTTTGGGTGTCCCTTCGTTAAAAAACAAAAAAAAAAATTTACAGTTCTATTGACCTATTCACAAAACTGTTTTTGGAAAAGAATAAAAATAAAAAAGAAAGGAATATTGTGTTGTGGTGCCAGAAAGTTATAGCAATCTAGCCAAAATTTTAGATCTGTGGTGGAGATTTAAAGTGTATGTTGTGAGAGACTATTGATCATTGATATGGTTTAATGTTTGCCGAAAGTAGTAGAATAATGCTGAGTTAAGAAGAATATATAAATTACGTAGCATGTCTATATTATTTGTGCAACATGTTCCTTTTCCAAGTTTTGCCAATGACCCACAAAAATAAATTTGGGTGGTTTTTCCTCTCCGGGTCTCTCTGTCTGGAATGGACTGGTTCCCCACAACCTGGCCTTGTGGCTCTAACCTGATTTTGATAATTTAATTTGTTTATTTTATGGGTCTTTCTTTTAAATTATTCATAAGCATAAACATAAAAATAAAATTTAAATTTATCTGATAATTATAATAATTTAATTTACTTATATTTATGTAAAAAAAAATGTCTATATATATATATTTCTTTTGTCATTCATTATTTAAAATAAATATAATAAAATTATGTAACTGCTAAACTAATTTAATTTTTTATTAATAGTTACACACAAGAATCTATAAAATAAAATAAAAATTAAATTATTAAATGACCTGGACTGTCCACACAGGAGATGAGTTCAATTCGTATTACTTCCATTCTTCCTTATCAACTGTGAATGGGCTTATGATGAATTGTGATTACGGATAAAAATGTCCCCACCCACCAAACAAAAAAGAAAAATGATGATAAAAAAAAAATTAATTAATTATTTTTTTTTTGCATTCCTTGAGAGGAAACAATAGAACTTGATTTTGACTATAGCGTATGCCCTGTGTTAAATTGCTTTGACTGAATCAATCAAAATTTTCAGTTGACTAGCACTGGGTTGACTGCTAAAATTTTCTTACTTTTGTGAAAAGCATGAGGATGTTTGGTTTGAGTTTTTTAGATTAAATTTTTTTAAAATTAAATTTTTTTATTTTAGTATTTTTTTAGTTTTAGTGAATATTTTAAAAATTTTAAATTTTTTTTTTTACTTTTTTAGATGTATCTTACTTAGATATATCTAAAAAGTAAAAAAATTATGAAAAAAATATTTTAAAAAATTAATAAATACATAAAATTATAAAAAATATACTGAATTCTCATTTTTTTTATTTAATATTTTTGGTATTTAGTGAATTTTTAAAATATTTTTTTCACAAATTTTTTACTTTTTAGGTATATTTATGTTATGCATGTCTAAAAAGTAAAAATTACTTAAAATATTAAAAAAATTCAGTAAAAATAAAAAAAAATAAAAAATAAGACAGTAAAATTTTGTGTTTTTGGAAAAATAGAACCAAGCAAAGTGAATTCCCCCAAAATTGGTTTGAATTGATATTTGAATGAAAAGTGTTTGTAATTATATATAAAATAATTTTAAAAACTGTAGGAACATATTTTTTGGATAGTTCATGTAGTCGAGATTGTAGTCGAGGACCATGTCATCGAGGTTATTCTAATATTACCGATATGAGTTGTGGTAATATCAGAATCCGGGATAAATGGATAGAGGACAAGAGTCCTGTATGTGTTGAGACACTCTGTTTGCATAGAAATAAGACTTTAAGAGAAGTTGATTCTAATCTGGATAGGAGGAGTTCAAGATAGATGTCATTCTTATAAAAGATAGAGTCTGTGTTAATTATAAAAATAAGACACCTTCATAGGTCTAAAGTACGCTTTCATTTGTGAGTGATTTTACTTGTGTCGATATCTTTTGAGATAAGTGATTAACTTAATCGTCGGAGTGTTTTGGGTGGATGAGTCATCGCGATATTTCTTAGTCTCTTGTGCACAGGTGCTAACTTAATCTATTCTTTCATCTAAGTTCCTTAAATTTCGACAGAAAGATTTGTTCGGTTGATAGGTCGAAAATCAATACTCACAAAAATCCTTTTAAAATTAATAAAGAGTAAATTTAAAATTTATGAAAGATGTCTCCTCATCCATTCATGGTTGTAAAAAGTACTTGTTATTAAAATTATTTTTTCTTATGTGTTATCTTCGTGATAATTTTTATCTCTTAGGTCTCGTTTGGCAAGTGATGATTTTAGTCACAAAGTCACTAAAAAAATTAAAAATTATACCAAAAAGTTAAAAATTTTATTTTTTCTCTACTTTTTACATATTTTTTTGTAAAAATTTAAAAAATTATTCCAAACATATTAATTTTTTTATATTATATTTTAACTAAAAAATTTAAAAATTATTAAAATAATTTATTTCCAGACGAGGCCTAGTTACTAACATAAAAATAGTTGACCCACTATTTAAACTAATCAGAATAACTTGCATTTCTTTATGAATCATTCTGTGATCTGTATTTTGTATTATTGAGAGGGTAATTTATATGAATAAATTGGGCCGAGATTGGGTAATGGGCCGCTTTGGGCCAAAGTAAGAAAAGCGGAATAAAATGGCTTTTTTCATTAGCTCGGTCCAAGAAGGCCGTATTGTTATCTCGGTCGCCACGGTCAAATTGGTTGGCCCGGTCGTAATCTTTAGCCGAGATATACGGAGCCTTCTTCAGGACTTTTGTTCTTGGTTAGTTCGGCCCAACTCTTCTACAAATAGCTCGGTCTTGGCATGTGAAGCCGAGATAGGAGAAAAGCAAGGAAGAGCCGAACTAACAGTTAGATCGGCCATTCCAGTTAGTCTAGCATGGCAATGTTATTTCGGTTATATGGTAGTCTGGCCATGGTAAAACCATCTCACTTGGTTTAAGTAGTGAGAGGGTTGTTGAAGGATAAGCATTATCCTTCAGGAGTATGAATCCTAGGAGGACTCTACATGGAGTAGTAAGAGTCCTACTTGGATTGTGCCACATAGAACCTATAAAAGCTCACCAACATCACTTATGGAGAGGTAACACAGCTTTGATTCCTGAATACACAGAGTTTTTGTCTACTTGTCTATTTTGCTGACTTAGGCATCGGAGGGGTTTTCGGCACACACCCGTCGGTTAGCTTACGTTTGTATTTTCAGGGAGTAAAACGACGACATACGGAGGAGTGCAGACTTGATCAACAGGATTATACGAGAAGAATTATTTCTTTCCCATACAATTGGCGCCGTCTATGGGAAAAACAGACAAGAACAAAACCTCTTGATCAAGTTTTTCCTCTTTAGAAGCAATGACGCATAACGAAGATTTGCCGTAGTCTGCCATCGACGGACAAACACCAGAGGGGGGTGCAAGACGCGAAGGCCTACCTTCTATCCTTCCCATGGCAGACTTAGAGCCACAGCGACAAAATCCCAAGAGGGATACAAGGGGGAGGAGGCGGACTAACAGCCCCCGTCACTCTCGTTCACGAAGTCCTGACAGACAAAGGCGGAGGATTAATCCTCAAGTTCTAGAGGACCGCGTGAAGGAGCAAGATGAATTAATAAGGAAGATGGCGGCGGACATGGAGGCCATGAAGCGCCAGATGAAGGGAAAAGGAATGGCGACAGGAGAGGGGCGCAAAAGCAAGACGCCTCCTCGCCGTTCAGAAGACCGTGGAAGGCATTCCACACCATCACAAGCAGAGAGTAGAAGCCTCAGGACAGGCGATACTCAATCCAGAACCTCCAGAACTTGTTACTCCAGGTCTGAGAGAACGAGATCATTGAGGTCTTATACTGAGGGAAGTACCTATCGACCCTCACGCTCGCACCAGACATCGTCCAGGCAGACGGAGTTGCCAAGATCGTTCGATTTGCGAAACATGTTGGAAGAAAAAGCACGAAGGAAGGAGGATACTAGGGCTCGCAACCCTCGTAGGGTATCTGCCCTTCAGCGGTTGGCTCCTCGAACGCATGGAAGCGTCGAGGTCAGAATGTCGTCACCACGCCCCGCCTACGAACCAACAGACAAAGCGTTAGCAAGGCTGCAGACCTCGCCGTTCGTCCCGGCAATTGAAAACGCGCCCCTTCCTTCAGGTTTCCTTCAACCCAAACTCACCACGTACGAGGGGAAGACAGACCCCTACATATACTTAAGCCACTTCCGCCAGGTTATGGCGGTATATCGACGAAACGAGGCTTTGATGTGCATCCTCTTCCTATCAAGCCTTGGTGACCTAGGCTTAACTTGGTTCGAAAAACTTCCAGAAGGCAGCATAGCCTCCTGGGCACAATTGGCGGAGGCGTTCGTCACGAGGTTCAGAACGAACACCAAAACCCCGGTGGAGATTGACCAGTTACTTTTCATCGACATGGGTGAAAAAGAGACACTAAGATCCTACAATAGTCACTACTGGGAGACATTCAATCAGATTGGGGACTGCCCCACCAATCTCGCCATTGTACAGTACAAAAGAGGCCTTCCAGTCGGAAACAGACTAAGGGACTCAATCACCATGACACCGCCCCTCACCATGGAAGCCTTGATGGAAAGAGTGCATCAGCACATCAGGGTGGAAGAGGATGGCGCCCATGCCAAAACAAAATCTGGCACGACCGCAGTACCAGATAAAAAGACCACAGCAAATATCAATGCGGTAAAATGTCCGAACAAAAACGGACGAGGCAGGCGAGGCAACGGAGAAGACCAGGATAAAAGATGGTTGAGAATCCGCACAGCCATAACCACGGTATTCAAGAAACCGATCTACAGGATTCTGATCGAAATACGAGATGAACCTTTCGTCAGATGGCCAGCAAAGCTAGGAGAAGCACAGAAAGACTACGACGAAAGGTCGCGATGCACCTTCCACAAAGAAAAGGGGCACCGCACTGAAAATTACATGCCATTGAGACAGCATCTGGAGTAGTTGGTGGCAGCCGGTCACCTGGATAAATACATTGAAGGAGGGACGCAACCAGCCCCCCAAGACCACAATAACCCCAATGGAATGCCAATTAACGCCCCACCTCAAGGTGTGATCA